TCAGAAAAGATTTACAAGGATGTTGCCAGGGTTGGAGGGTTTGAGCTACAGGGAGAGGCTGAATAGGCTGGGGCTATTTTCCCTGGAGCATCAGAGGCTGAGGGGTGACCTTAGAAATTTATTAAATCATGAGGGCATGGATAGGATGAATAGTCAAGGTCTCTTCCAAGGGTAGGGGTGTCCAAAACTAGATGACATAGGTTTAAGGTGAGAGGGAAAGATTTAAAAGGGAGCTAAGGCGCAACTTTTTAGGTAAAGGGTGGTGCATGTATGGAACGAGCTGCCAGAGGAAATGGTGGAGGCTGGAACGATTACAACATTGAAAAGGCATCTGCATAGGTATATGAATAGGAAGGGTTTAGAGGGATATAGATCAAATGCTGGCAAATGAGACTAAATTAATTTAGGATATCTGTTTGGCATGGATGAGTTGGACTGAAGGGTCTGTTTCCATGCTGTACATCTGACTGTAATTCCTTCTCATTCTAAATGATTGTCCCGCTTACCCCAAGAATGCATGCCTGTGATTTGGATTCCCTGACCAATGGAAACAATTTGTGTCGATCCTGTTCAGAATCATTTGATCACCCCTTTATTGTTCCTATACTCCAGAGAATTAACCACAATTCCCAATTGTACTCACTGTCCAATGATCGCTGCTTGGAAATGTACACCAAAGGTGTTGAGTGAATGAATAGAATCAGCTGTGAAGCTCCCGTATTCAAAAAGTCTCTTGACTTGCCTCACACTGAAAAGCTACTTGAGTCATTTAGAGAGTAGTGGCTGCTCATGATGTTGACCAGAATCTTGACAGATAACAAGGATAACATCACTTCTGTTTTTGTTGCTCTGTTGAAACCAGCCCCTTTCTTACCCATTTCATATTAATAGTGGCTTAAGGATTTATTCCAAATTGAACAGTCACCTCTAATCGGGAAAGCCCATGATGAATGTATTTGAGAGTTGGGTACATGTGTTGTGAGCTGAGTTGGAAGATGTGAAATGAAATTCAAATGGACAGCAATCAGACTGTATTAACTCATGGAGTTAGTATCAGATTCTTATACTGATTACTTCAGGATTGTGAAAACCGAAGGCAATTCTGTTTCTGAGAGACGTGAGAGGTCAAGGTTGCACAATATGAGCCAAGACTTTGAGGCTTCTGAGAACTTGTGAACTTGCAGTCTTGCATTGTAGGTTGTTCCCATTAGAAATTGAATTAGATGTCCCCATCATTGCATTGCACTGAAAGAGCGCACGTGCTCGAGTGGGGGAAAAGGAACTTTACCTTAATTGAAGTAATATTCAGGATTATGCTTCCTGTCTCTACTAAAGAACTGATTTCTATTGACTCTCCCCTGCAATGGTCTGGCTGTGATGTGTAACTCTGCATGACAACCTTGTCCTTGATACATACTACTACAGTAGAATGTAATTTAACAGGAAAATCTGGTTTTGTATCCTTCAGTTCAGGGCAACAATACTGCTGCTAAATGAGATTCCTTGAGCTTTGTGGTCAATTACTCTGGTCTGCTTTTAGAAACTTCCTACTTTCTCTTCTCAGGTTTCAAATGGAATCCAAATCAAAAGCTGGCTGAAAGATCCAAAAGATCAGGAGCTACGGAAACTCATCCCATTCTTGCAGAAACTAGCAGAACTGGTGCGTGGTGAGCATCTAAGTCCACTCTTCCTTTTATGCCTTCTTGAGCAATCTTGTCTTTGATTCCAACATTAGCCTTCTGCTGTAATAGTCCATAATCTAGAATTTTCTCCTTTTGCCTTGCTCCACAACTGTGGATTTTCTTCAAAACCCACCTTTTTCACCACGATTTTGATCATCTATCCTGCTGTGTGTCCTTGTGGCTTCCATAAGAAATAGGAGTGGGAGCAGGCCATTCGACCTGCCCTGCCATTCAACAAGCTCATGGTTGACCTGGGGCAGGCATCAACTCCTCTCTTGTGCCTGTTCCTTTTATAGCCCTTGACTCCCTAAAATTTCTAAAATCTATCTAGCTCCTCTCTAAATGCTTTGTGATTTAGCATCTACAACTGAAGTAGAGAATTCCAGACTTTCACAAGCCTCTAGTGGAAGAAACTCCTTTGCATCTCTGTCTTAAATGAGTATCCCCTTTATTCTGGAGCTCTGACCCCTAGTTTAAGGTTCCTCACTTGTGGAAACATCTTAACATCCACTTTGTCAGGTCCCCTCGGAATCTTTTAGGTTTTTAATGAAATTGCCTCTCAGTCTTCTAAATACTAATGAATAAAGGCCTAACCTGTTTAGTTGTCCTTGATGAGTCAATCCCTTCATCTTGGTAATCGGCCCAGTGAATCTCTCTTGAACTGCCTCCAATACTAGTTATCCTTTATTAAATACAGGGACCAAAACTATTTAAATTCTTTGCAATTTCTCTCTTCCCCATTATTAATTCCTTAGTTGCATCCTCCAAGGGTCCTAAACTAACTTTTGGCTACTTTTTTTAAATGTAAATAATTGTAGATGCTTTTGCTTTAAAATATTTCTTGCAAACTTATTTTCATCAATTTTCTCCCTGTTTATTAGCATTTTTGTCATCCCCTGTTAGTTCAGAAAAAAGATTCCCAATTCTCTGCCCTACTACTAATTTTCTCACTTGGTATCAAATAATGTTGATCACTCTTGCAAAGTTCCTTGAAACACTTGACCACATTTAAAAGTGCAGTGAAAATGCAAACTATTGCTGGTAAGTGTAGACTTAGAAAATTAATTGAGCATCTTAAGGTTTTATTTTCTTTCCTCCCATTTTAAATATCTAATGCCTTTTAAGGAAGGAAAGCTGCCATCCTTACCTGTTCTGGCTTATGTGTGAATTCAGACCCATAACTTAGTCCCCTGAAATGGCTTCATTCAGATCTACCAACTGATGTAGAAAAACCAAAGCAGATGCACTGCAGCAGTTCAACATTGCAGCTCACCACCATCATCTTTTTGAAGGCAATTAGGGATTGGCAACAAATGTTAGTCTTGCCGAAGAGATCCACATCCCATGCAAGAAATCTTTTAAATATCTCTATTTTTATTGTCACATGCAGTTCCCAGTAGAATGGATGGTCAGGTACCTTGGAATTTCCAAACTACCTTAGATGACCACTTAGAGCTGTACAGCACAGAAACAGACCCTTTAGTCCAACTCATCCATGCCAACCAGATATCCTAAATAAATCTAGTCCTATTTGCCAGCATTTGACTCCTATCCCTCTAAACCCTTCCTATGGATGTATCCATCCAGATGCTTTTTAAATGTTGTAATCGTATCAATCTCCACCAATTGTGGCAGCTCGTTCCATACACACACCACCATCTATGTGAAGAGATTGCCCCTCAGGTCCCTTTTTAAATTTTTCCCCTCACCTTAAACCTATGCCCTCTAGTTTTGGACACCCCTACACTGGGAAACAGACCTTGGCCATTCAGATTATCCATTCTTCTTCAGTTTGGGTTCCACCAGGGCCACTCAGCTCCTGACCTCATTACAGCCTTGGTTCAAACACAGATAAAAGAGCTGAATTCCAGAGGTGAGGTGAGAGTGACTGCCCTTGGCATCAAGGAGTCCTAGCAAAACTGGAAACAATGGGTATCAGGGGCAAACTCTCCGGTGTTTGGAGTCATATTTGACCTCCAACAATCCTACATGTCAATCATCTCAGCTCCAGGACATCTCTACAGGAGTTCCTAGAGATGGTTGGGCTGAGGACACTACCTTCAGCTGTTTTATCACTGACCTTCCCTCCATCGTAAGGTCAGAAGTGGGGATGTTCACCGATGATTATGCAATGTTTAGCACCATTTGTGACTCCTCAGATACTGAAGCAGTCTGTGTTCACATGCAACAAGATCTGGACAATATCCAGGTTTGGGCTGACAAGTGGCAAGTGACATTCGTGTCACACAAATGCCAGGCTATGACCATCACCAATAAGAGACAATCTAATCACTGCCCCTTGACATCCAATGGTGTTACCATCACTGAATCCCCCACTATCAACATCCTGGGGGTTATCATTGACCAGAAACTCAACTGGACTCACCACATTAACACTGGCTACAAGAGCAGGCCAGGAGCTGGGAATACTGTGGCGAGTGATTCACCTGACTCCTCAAAGCTTGTCCATCATCTACAAGTCACGAATCAGGAGTGTCATTTCTGAAGAAGGGTCTAGGCCCGAAACGTCAGCCTTCCTGCTCCTCTGCTGCTTGGCCTGCTGTGTTCATCCAGCTCTACACCGTGTTGTCTGTGATGGAATACTCCCCACTTGCATGGATGAGTGCAGCTCCAACAACGTTCGAGAAGCTTGACACCATCCAGAACAAAGCAGTCCACTTGATTGGCACTGCATCCACTCCCTCCACCACCGACGCTCCGTGGCAGCAATGTCACTGTAATACCGTCTACAAGATGCACGGCAGAAATTCACCAAAGATCCTCAGACAGCACCTTCCAAACCCACAACCACTTCCATCTAGAAGGACAAGGGCAGCAGACATATGGGAACACCACCACCTCCAAGTTCCCCTCCAAGCCACTCCACCGTCCTGACTTGGAAATATATCGCCGTTCCTTCACATTTACTGATCAAAATCCTGGAATTCCCTCCCTTAAGGGCTCTGTGGATCAACCCACAGCAGGAGGACTGCAGCAGGTAAAGAAGGCAGCTCACCACCTCTCAAGGGCAACTAGGGATGAGCAAGAAATGCTGGCCAGCCAGTGACACCCACATTCCACAAACGAACAGAAAAAAAATTAAGTGCGCAAGTCCTGTCCTGATTTGTCTTTCCAAAATGCAACACCTCACGTTTATTTAAATTAAACTCCATTTGCACTCCTCTGCTCATCTGATCAAGATCCCGTTGCCAGGGCTTGGTTGATAATGTTTTTCTCCCCCCTTGTCCCCACTCACCTATTTTTAATAGACAGATCTTCCCTCCACTTTATATGTAGTTTTGCTTGCTTGCTTGCTACAGATGTAAACTATGGGAGGCGGTGGCCTAGTGGTATTCTCGCTGGACTGTTAATCCAGAGGTCCAGATAACATTCTGGAGACATAGGTTCAAATCCTGCCATGGCAGATGGTGGAATTTGAATTCAATAAATATCTGGAATTAATCATCTAATGATACCCATGAATGCATTATTAGTTGCCAGGGGAAAAACGCATCTGGTTCACTAATGTCCTTTAGGGAAGGAAGCTATCCTTACGCAGTCTGGCCTACATGTGATTCCAGATCCACGGCAATGTGATTGGCTCGTAACTGCCCTCTGGGCAATTAGGCTTGGGCAATAAATGCTGCTGAGCCAGTGATACCCTCATCCTGTGAATGAATTTTTAAAAAATTTCTTAGTATCGTTGCTCTGAAATTATCATCCCAGAAAGTCGCTGAGGTTGAGTCAAATGAACATACAAATTCCCAAGGATCCAGAGCAAGAGTATACCATTTTGGCCCCTTGACCTGCCACTAACCAATAACACCATGACTGATCTGATTACTCCCTACTCTAACCTATCCCAGTGACATTTAGTTTATTCAAAGCAGAGTAGGTATTTTGGTAGACAAAGGAGATGAGAATTGTGGGAAGGTGGAGTTGAGAGCACTATTATAGTCATGATTGAATTAAATGGTGGAGCTAGCTTGAAGAATTAAGCATTTGATGCTGCAACTAACTGTTATTTGTCTGTTTCCCATGGGTTTCTCGCAACTAGAATGACATTGGAAGAATCTTGGCAATGCATAAACAGTTGTTCAGCTTGGGAGCAGTGAGTTGGCCTTGACTTTGGGAGCTCTGAACAGGTGTCAAGATTGTCAGTGGTATTTGGACAAATTTAAAATGGAATCCACTGACCAGTTCATAGCCGTTCCTTGTTCCCACAGGGTCTAACTAGTTATAGAAGATAGTTTGGTAGAAAGTGTGAATTGTAGTATTTGTGATGAGCAACAGTTCAGTTCTGCTGCTTTGAGTGAGATTTGATGTGTTCACTTCCCTTTGGGTTGAAGCGGTTATATGGTGAGGTGAGATTGAAAATAAAAGACCTCTTTTACTCAGGGATTTACTGGATTGAGAGGTGATCCCACTGCAATGTTAAAACTGATGGTTGAGTGGAGAGTGTGGAATTTGGGTCATGTCATCCATCCTTAATGGCTAGCAAAGTTTCTTCACTGAGGGCTGTGATACTTTTTGGAACACCCTAACTCTCAGGATGGTGGATGCTCATTCAGTATTTAAGACTGAGATTGACAGGACACCAAGCAAAGCAGGAGTAATGGTGATTAGGCAGGAAAGTGGAATTGAGGTAGAAAATCAGCTGATGCCTTACAGAATGTCCAAGAAACCTTCAGCTCCTTTTTATATATGTTCCTGTGCACCTTCCTTCTCCATGCAGCCCCATCATTCTGGGCACCGAAGTGCAACTCAGCTACCTTTTTCGACTGACCAAAACGTAAGCTGTTGTCAATAGCTGCGACAGATTTGGATGTGTCTCTTGGACTTTTGTATATAACCTCAAGATTGTCTCTGTCTGTCTGTCTACCACAACCAGAACAAAAGACCCCACTTTTTCTGTTTGTAGGATGATGTACAGCCTGTGATTCAAAGGACCTATAGATGGGACAGTCTGTGAATAGATGCCCAAAGTTGCTCCGAGGAGCCAGGATTGAAGGGGGAAGTTTTTTTTTCAATAAACTGCCCCTCCCTCCTCTCTACACCATTCCCCATCATATTTTTTTGTTTTGAAATCAAGCAATTTATTTGTTGTTTAACCATCCAATGTTACAACTGTACTCCATACACCTAAACTGCTTAGCTTCATGACTGGAGTTCTGATCATGTCTTTTCCTGTTGCGTAAATTTTTTAATCGTTTTTTTCATAATTTACAAATAAAAGATACCATATTATTGTCCATTGTGATGGTGTTGATGTTTTAATGGGTGTATAAATGTCTGCTTTTATATCTTAAAAATAGGTTAGCTTAGGTAAGAATGTTTCAATAATTGAGAACTCTTTCCGCTTAACCTACACTTTTAAATTTTAACTAAATCTCCCATTGCTGAGGAGAATTTGTTTTAAGTCCCAATCTCAAGAAGAAACCCTTTTTAAGAGACATTGCCGTACATATGCTGCGCTTCAGCATGCGGCCTGAAGGTACAAAGGTCTCATAATCCATCTTATCCCAGGGATCACTTGAAGCATGCCATGCTACTATTCTGTTGTCATTTACTGCTTGTGTTTACTAATTAGCTATAATAAATGTCTGGATTCTTCCATACCACAATAGCCATAATCAGTTTCCTGTGTTATGAGGGATGACATGAGTATTACTGCATCAGTTAAAATACCCTGCTGTAGACAAAATTACATCAATGCCAGGACCACAAACAGCCAATTCTGCATCCGAGTCAGAAATTGTTGCAGAGCTTCTGGAACAGATTTCATCTCGTTGTGACAGAATGTATACGGTCAAGTTCTAAAGATTTTATAGATGATGGGTATCTGCTGGGCAAGAATTGTAGAACTGAGATGCTGTAGATGTGATTGGTGTCTCAATGAGCCAATGGCTGAGTAGATTGAAGGACTTGGATAACAAGGTGTAGAGCTGGATGAACACAGCAGGCCGAGGAGCAGGAAAGCTGACGTTTTGGGCCTCATGATATCCTACCATCTCCTTCCACACCAAATGTGCAATTTTGCTGGGGCTTTTTAAAAAAAAAATGACTGTCAAAGCTTTTCTTTTTTACCTTGATAAGACAGTTCAAAAAGATACAAATTCATGGTAGAAAACTAATGTTTATACTGTTTTAGAGAAATGTGATGATTGGTTAGCAAGTGGACTGAATGCTTGGTAGAAGTGTTGCCATTAGAGAATACTCCAACTAATGAAGTGGAACCCCTTTTTAGTTCCAAGGAAGAGTCCTACTGGATTTGAAATATGCTCTCCCGCGCTGCTCTCGCTCTCTCTCTCTCTCTCTCTCTCTCTCCCAACAATTGCTGCCGGACCTTCTGCGTTCCTCCAGCATTGTCTGTGTGCGCTGCTTTGACATTTTCTTTCTCACTCACTTGAGATGCTAGTGCTAGTCCAAATGCCTGTTTTGTGCAGTGTCCACTCCTCTGAAATGGAGAAGCCTTATATCAACATCTAACCTAACGTATTCCCCTTACCACTTAGCCTCAAATTGCTGGCTGCTTCCTTGTGTGCCCTTCATTATGTAATCATCCAGTTTTTTGAAAGTCAATCTTTTTGGTTTGCACTGTCATCTTGATATAAAACACAGACTATTTATCTTTACAATCTCATTGGCTAATTTAAAAGCATTGAACTTTAGGGTTGAGAGAAAAGCAATTAAAAATGAGCTGGGAAATTTTAAAATGACAACAAACGTCACCTGACCTGAAAGTAGCCAAACTCTCTGGACCATAAAAGGAATGGGAGGCTGGATTGACAACCACACCCAGAAAGACCTACGTATTAATATTAATCATCAGGAATGTATGGCTCATAGTGAGACCGTCTAGTGTCTCTGAAGATGAGACTTCTTGACTGCTGGGTTTTCTGGCACAAAGGTTTAAATCTGAAACTCATTGTGCAACGAGGACAATTGAAACCCCCATCTACATCAAATGATAACAACAGGGGAAACTCTGGCAATGGACTATCAAAACACTGTAAAAATAGCTTGTCTTCTTTGTAGGCTAACAGCCAGTCTTCCCACCTCTAAACCTCTTGTGAGAAGCCATGATCTATCACGTGTATATCTTTGTTTTAAAAAAGATATCCTGAGATATAGGAGTAGCGTTGGGAATTAGGGCTTTGTCTCATTTTCGAAGTTATGCCCAGGTCTGCGAAAAGTGGTCATTTCTATGGAGAAAACTGTTTATGAACCACTGTCTTTAAAATGTGGAAATCTGCCATACAACTGCCTCTAGAAGTACCATCAATTCAACATCAAAGAACTTTAAATACTTTATTTCAGTTCCACTTCGCCTGTACATCATTCTATTTGTTTACACATTATTTATTCTGTATGTGCATGAGCACATCACAGAATTTGGGATGGGCTTTTATCTTTAGCAGTTTTTACAGCTTTGAGAAAGGCACTTTGGCCAATTGAGACTGTATCAGCCATCTCGCATTCTAATCCCATTTTCTAGACCTTAGCCCATAGGCCTGTAGTCTTGAATGTTATGGTGTTTCAAGTGCTCGTCCAAATATTTCTTTAGTGTACTGATGGGTCCTGCCTCCACTAGCCTATCAGGCTGTGAGTTCCAGATACCCACTCCTCTCTGATTCTTGTTTTCCCTCAAATTTCCCCCAAGTCTCCTGCTCCTTAGCTTAAAATTGTGCCCGTGGTTATTAACCTCTCTTCCAAGGAGAAAGGTTTCTTCCCATTTTCCCCATCTATCACCCTCATAACTTTTAAACACCTTAATCAGATCACCCCTCAGCCTTCTCTGCTGATTGTCTGTCTCACGTGAGTCAGTTAAGATCATAAAACCACAAGAAATAGGAACAGGAGTAGACTGTTCAGCCCCTTGGGTCTGCTCCGCCATTCAATGGAATCATGACTGATCCAACATTCTTCGTACCCACTTTCCTACATTTTCTCCATAACCCTTGATTCCCTGACTGAATCAAAAATCAAATATCTAAGCTTTAAATATACACAAGGACTTTGCCCCCACAGCTCTCTGTGGCAAGGAGTTCCAAAGACTTGCAATCCTCTGAGAGAAGAAGTTCCTCCTACCTCAGACTTGAGTTGATGTCCCTTTATTCTGAGACTTTGTCCTCTGGCCCTAGACTGTCCCTTGAGGGGAAACACCCTCTCAGCATTTACCCTGTCCAAGTCCTTTAGGAATCCTATATGTTTCAATGAGATCACCTCTCATTCTTCTAAACTCGAGTGAATAGAGTCCCAACTTGTTTGGCTTTGCTCATTAGACAATCCTTCCATACTGTAGATCATCCACTAAACATTTCCTTAACTGTCTTCAATGAAATAACATCTTTCCTTAAATAAAAGGCCTAAAGCAGCTCACAGTACTCCAGATGAGGTCTCATGAGCACCTTATACCAGCACCTTTTCCAAGATGGCGGCAGAGTAGGATGCTTTAGCTGAAACTTGTCTGCACCATCCACTCCTTTTCTTTTGATTTCTTTTTCTTTTTCCCTCTTTTGTCTTCTTTTTTCTCCTCCTCTTCTCTCTTCCCGGCCTCAGACTTCACCCCCTCAGAACTCCCGGCCTTGGAACTCTTGGCCTCTGACCTCACAGCCTCAGAACTCCTGGCCTTGGAACTCTTGGCCTCTGACCTCACTGCATCAGAACTCTCGGCCTCGGAACTCCCAGCCTCAGCACAGGCCTGGCATGGCAGCTTCTTGGCACAGTATGGTGGTCTCTTGGTGCAGCGTGGCAGTCTGCCATCCCAACGTAGCGTCCTCGTGGCCTGGCATGGTGATTCTCCCAGTGGCCCAGTGTCATGGTCTTTGGGTGGTACATGGCATTCTCATGGCCTGGCATGGCCTCAACGTGGACTTCTGGCCTTGAGGTGATACCAGAGCAGTCTCTGGGCCTTTTGAACTCTGAGGTGAAGCCCTGTGTGATATGGAGTCAAGGCCCAGTGCGGACTGGAGACTAGGTACCAGTATGGATGAGGTCAGAATACCTTTGTTCTAAACATTTTTCCTCCATTTTTTAAACTTATTCCTAAAATCTGCAATCCTGGATTTTTTTACTTCTCAATTTTCTAAGAATTGTAACTGAAAAAGCTGTACCTAGGGACCTTTGTACCTAAGATGGCGCTGTACGTGGTGACTTGTACAATTTTCACTGCTCTCATTTGAGTACAATAAAGCTAATTCTAATTCTAATTCTACGTTGCAGTAGGACTTCCCTCTTCTTGTGCTCCAAACCCCTTGAAATAAGAGCCAACATTCCATTAGCTTTCCTGATTACCTGCTGTGCTAGCTTTCTGCATTTCATGCACAAGTCCCTCTGTGTTGCAGCTTTCTGCAGTTTTTCTCCATTTAAAACCAATTCTGTTCTTTTCTTACTATACTCCAGTTTCAATAAAATAACCTTTCATTTTGATTAATTCAAGGAGGTCTGTCTTGTGTGTACTTTATAGCTGTAATGAGTGTTCAAGTGTACATTGAAATGGGAAAAAAACTACTGCTTACTAAAGATTCAAAACTCTGTTATACCAACCTTAGGAGTGAGGAGAAAGGATTTGCTCAACTCTTTGGACTGGGGTATAACAACCTGACAGTATTGCCTGAATTACTTCTTCTATACATTTTAACTCTGTGCCCAACCCTGTGAGCCTTAATTTCTCACATTTTTAAAAGAAAAATAATGTGCATGTTTGTCATACGGAACATCTTTAACAGTAAATGTCGATGTCTGTTCAAGTACAATGGTGCAGTTCAGTAAAGTACATTAAATGTAGCACTTCAGACATGGCAAAGCACTTACAACTGTATGATCACAACTGAGGTTCTATCAGATAACAGCCAAACTGAGTTCAGCAAATGAGGGATTGACTGGATAATCTTTCTGAGTAATCCTCAGCCTTCACCACGTTGAAGGACAAGGGCAGCAGCTGCTTGGGAGCACCATTTCCATGTTTGCACCATTCTGCCTCTTAAATACATTGCTGCACGTTCACTGCCGGTTCTAAATCCTGGAACTCCCTCCCTAACAGCCTCACCACACAGACTGCAGCAGTTCAAGAAAACAACTCATCTGATTGCTGGTATAGCGGAGAGTGAAGAAGGTCATCTAAGATTGCAAAGATATCTTGATCAATGGGCTCAGGAGTGGCAGATGGAGTTTAATCTCGATAAAACTGAGGTATTGCATTTTGGTAAAACAGACAAGAGCAGGACTTACATAATTAATGGTAGGGCCCTAGGTAGTGTTGTAGAATAGAGAGACCTAAGGGTTCAGGTGCATAATTCATTGAAATTTGCATCACAGGTAAACAGGGTAGTTAAGAAGGCGTTTAGTACCCTTGTCTTCATTGCTCAGACCTTTGAGTATAGGAGTTGGGACGTCATGTTGAAGTTGTATAGGGCATTAGTGAGGCCTCTTCTGGAGTACTGTGTGCAGTTCTGGTTGCCTTGTTATAGGAAGGATATTATCAAATTGGAGAGGGTTCAGAAAAGATTTACCAGGATGTTGCTAGGAATGGAAAGTTTGAGTTACAAAAATAGGCTGAATAGACTGGGACTTTCTTCATTGGAGTGTAGGAGGTTGAAAGGTGACCTTATAGAGGTTTATAAAATCATTACAGTCATAGATATGGTGAATAGCAAGGGTCTTTTCCCTAGGGTTGGGATTTCAAGACCACGGGGCATATTTTTAAGGTGGAAGGAGAAAGTTTTAAAAAGGACAATGAGGGGCAAGGAAGTGGTGAATGCGCGTACAGTTACAATGTTTAAAAAACATTTGGATAAGTACATGAATAGGAAATGTTTGGTGGGATATGGGCCAAAAGCAGGCAAGTGGGACCAGTTTAGTTTGGGAGTGTGCTCGGCCACACCAGTTGGACTGAAGGGTGTGTTGCTGTGCTGTATGACTCTATACCTTCTATGTTTCTGCTGGTTAAGAGATAAATAAATATTATCCAGAATACTGGAGACTTCCCAGCTCTCTTCACTGGCGGGATCTCCTGTGCAGCCAGACCCCTCATCAACAGCTCCCATCTATGACAATGCAGCACTCTTTTGTCACTGTATTAATGTATGAGGATCTATAGTGAAGCTTTGAACAACTAGCATTTGCAAGTCTGAGCAATTGAGCCAAGCTGACAAGCTTTCAATGGAAGGGGTAGGAGTCTCTTGTGGTACTGTGGTAGTATTTCTACCTCAGAGCAAGGACACCTGGGTTCAAGTCCTAACTACTCCGGAGGTGTACAACAGTATGTCTATACAGGTTGATTAAAAGTAATTCCTGCCAAAGGAGTATATATGGTACATCATTCCCTGCTGTGGCCAATCAGATAGTTAATAGAAAGGACAGGGACTTGTGACACAATGGTAACATTGCTACCTCTAGGTCAGAAGACCTGGGTTCAATTCCCATCCCCTCCCCTGGAGGTGTGTTGTAAGATATCTAAACAGGTTGATTTAAAAATAATTTTTAGGAAGTGGTTTGAGGTATTGTGGTAGAGTCCCTACCTCTGGACCAAAAGACTTGGTTCCATTCCCACCTGCCCTAGATATGCATTGTAGTATGGTGAAACAAGTACTTTACAATATAAAGGGGAAGATAAATTAATACTGATCAAATAGTAGGACTGATTCCTAACAAGTCCTCAGACTTGGGTAGCATGGCGGCTCAGAGCTGCCTCACAGCACCAGGGACCCGGGTTTGACTCCAACCTCGGGCAACTGTCTGTGTGGAGTTTGCGCATTCTCCCCATGTTTGCGTGGGTTTCTTCTGAGTACTCCAATTTCCTCCCACAGTGCAAAGACGTGCAGGTTAGGTGGATTGGCCATTGTAAATTGTCCATAGTGTCCAGGGATGTGTAGGCTAGGTGGATTAGCTATGGGAAGAATGCAGGGTCACAGGGATAGGGTAGGGGTCTGGGTGGAATGCTCTTCGTAGGGTCGGTGTGGACTCATTGGGCCAAATGGCCTGCTTCCACACTGTAGGGATTCTGTGTTCTATCAAATCCATACCCATTATTTAACTCAGCAAAGCTGCCTGGATGGTTGATGTGGAAAATGACATAGTAATGGATCCTGTTTTTGAGCAGTGGATGCTTCAATTAAAAGTGAGTATACAAAGAGTGGCCTTTATAACTTCATCACATTCGGATGACTTTAAGTTTTGCCCACACCAAAAGGAAGACAGTCAAGGATGTCAAGACAAAACAATTTATGTGAGCTGAAAATTTATGTAGAAAATGACATCAATCAATTCAGAGTCAGAATAATCAACTGGCAGATTGCAGAATTCAATGAGGGAAGAACAGAGCTGGGGATAAATAGATTGGAACCAAAGGTTGATGAGAAAAACAGTAGCTTAACAATGGGCTACCTCAAAGTGGAAATGATCTGGTCAAATCGAGATATGTTACATCAAAAGGGAAAGGTGGGACAAAAGAGATAGGAATTAAGTTAATGAAGAAAATGTGTGATTATGACAGGAATCAGGTAGTAAATCCAGTTGAGAACTAAGCTGAATACAGAAGGTTAAGAAGGGAGAGGAAAAAGAAAATGCAAGAAGCAAAGAGGGATTAAAATCAAATCTGGCAGCTAAGATAAAAGGAAATCTTCTCTAAGCACATCAGTGGTGAAAGGGTGGTAAAACGAGAAGTAGGCTCAGTTAAGGATTTATGCTCAAAGGCAATGCAGGACACAAAGCAGCTAAACTGTGCACAGCAAGATCCCACAAATGTCATAGAATCCTTACAGAGCAAAAAGAGGCTATTTGGCCCATTGAGTCTGTACCAACCCTCTGAAGATCATCCTATCCAGACCCAGCTCCCTCTGTCCCATAATCCCACAATTACCCAAGCTTAAACCACCTATCCTGCATGCCACAGGGTAATTAGCATGGCCAATCCACCCAACCTACACATCTTTGTGACTGTGGGGGGTAATTGGATCACCCAGTGGAGACCCACCCAGACACAGGGAGAACATGCAAATTCCACACAGTCACCCAAGGCTGGAACTGAACCCAGGACTCTAGCACTGTGAGGCAGCAGTTCTAACCACTGAGACACCATGCCAGCCCTTTATTTTCCCCAATAGAATCCCTACAGAGAGTGGAAAGAGGGCATTTTGCCCATTGGGTCCACAGTGACCCTCCAAAGTACATCCCACCCACATCCAGCTCCATGTCCTGTTCCCTGTAACCCTGCATTTCCCCTGGCTAACCCATCTAGCCTACACCTCCCTGGACATTATGGAGCAGTTTATCATGGCCATTCACCTAACCTACACATCTTTGGACTGTGGGAGGAAACTAGAGCACCTGAAGGAAACCCACACAGCGATGGGGAGAACATGCAAACTACACACAGATAATCACCAAGGCTGGAATCAAACCTGGGTCCCTGGCACTGTGGCCCAGCAGAGCTAACCATTGTGCCACTGTGCCACTCCTAATTGAATTCAAATTCCACCATCTGCTGTGGCAGGATTTGAACCTGGATCCCCAGAACATTAGCTGAGTCTGATTTTTTTTTATTGTTAAATTATACTTTATTCAGAAAAAGAATTTTTATGTACTTACACAGTTACTAAAGCAGTTCGATTCTGTACAGTCTTTGCATATGGGGAACAAGCAAACATTAGGGTTTGACTTTATAGTTGCAAAAGAACCAAAGGCATTTCTTAATTATGCAAGATGCTGTTTACATGCATTTGAGGTACGTGGGGTGCGATAACTGAATGGGCCCTCATTGTACTTTGGCAGAAAGACCTTCGATGGTGGTCTTTCCCCAATGCACCTTAGCGCTAGCAATGCCCACGAGTTTCTAGACTTTTATTCCAAAATATACTTTATTTATAATAATCTTTATAAACACGCATAGTTACTAAAGCAGTTCGGTTCTGTACAGTCTTAGCATACCATCGCCTCCCTGATCAGTGTTCGGATCATGCTCAGATAGTGCTCAGATAACTTGTTTTTGTAATGTTGGCTGAGTGATAGAATCCAGGACATAACTCCCTTTTCCCTTCTTGCAAATAGCGCCTTGGAATCTTTCACATCCCCTTGAGAGAGCAGATTTAAAATCTTATCCCAAACCCCACAGTGTGACAGTGCAGCTCTCCTCCAGCATTGCGCTGGGTGGAGTGTCAGTCTTGCTCAAAAGGAACGGTTTTTGTTTTGCAAATAATTCTCCCACTCTCCCTTCCTAATCTGCGGGAAAGCAGCGAACTGATAGAAGGGAAGGGTCTCGCTCTACAACTCCGTGGCGTGTAAACAGTTCAGACTCACCAGAATGTGGTACCAGTGATTTTAAAAAAATACTACAGAAATTGCTGGAGAAACTCAGCGGGTCTGGCAGCATCTGGAGAGAAGCAGAGCTAACGTTTCGAGTGCGCGCTGACTTCTTCAGAGGCAGTAATTACAGCTAATAAGGCTTTTTCCTCCTATAAGATTGTAATGTGTGTGTTGTGAAGCAATTCAGTAAGGTTTCAGAGCTGTCAAATGGACTGTCACATGGCTCTGGTGTCTTGCGGTTTCGCTGTGAATCTTTCTATTGCAGTAGGCGGATCTGAGTGTCATCTGAATGTGAGCAGATTGTAAAGGAGAGGTCACTCTGCTTTCTACTAGAGGAGTGTGTGAGAAAAGAAACGTGCCTAGCCTGTCAAATCTATCTGTTTGTGCTTGGGATCCAGTGAGGGGTGACACACTGCAGCAAGTGGCGAGAAGGGGAGGGGAGAAGGGGATTGCAGTGCCTAGGATTTCCGGCTGAAACTGACATAGGAACAGGTGAAATTGAACGGCACGGAGAAAGACAGAGAGAGAGAGAAGGGGCAGGCGAGAATCCAGAGAGAACTGGGCCCGCGAACCCGAGTAACATCAGATCAGCGACCGAGCCGATCGCTGTTATGAATAATTCATGAGGCGGGAGATCTCTCAGCCCTCGCTCGATCTTGCCTGGTCGAGGCGTTGAATGGTTTATATCGAGATGCTGGCTCGATTTATAAACCGATCTGCAGGCGGCAATATCCCCAGCAGCTACTTTGTATCCCGCAGTTAATCAATACTTATATTGTTTCAAGCTGGAAGAGGCAGACACATTGTTTCTTTTTAAAACCCCAGGGAAAGTCTCGCCACTTTCTGGCTCGGTTCTGCAGAGGGGCTTGCACAGTGTTTCTGAGTTCACTCCCTTTTTTCTCATTGATCGGGGTTTTTTCTCTTGGCGGGGGGAGGGTGGGCTGTAGGATTGACGTTCAGTGGAAGCGGAGGTTCAGCAGCAGGTTGACACGATGGTACAGCCTATGCCTGGATATGGCGAGCTGCTGGAGAAAGGCTTCTCCCGGATGAACACTGCGATGGCTGAGTGCACGGACTGCGGCTTCGAGCTCTCCAAAAGGACCCTACTGGAGAATGCATCCCTCACCGTAAACGAGGGGTTTTTGTTCCTGATTTGTGCCGTGGCCTGGACTCTCCTTCGGAAGGCTGCTTCGCGTTACCTTTTTCAGGTTAGTGTGTGTATATTGGTTGGATATCTGTTAGCTCTTACTAAGAAAACGTACTGAACATGTGTTAAAACACACTATTAAAACTCTCCAATCTGTCTATTTCCTTCTGACACCCCTATCCTCTCTCATCTCCGCTCTGTTATTCCATCTCCCCACTCGCACCTCTAATTTCTACATGTGTATATACACAACTCTCTCTCTCTCTAAATATTCTGTCTTCTCCTACCTCTTCATAGATTTTATATATATTACTACAATTAATTATCATATAGATATAGTCCATTTAACTTTGCTATCCAGATATACGACGTGATTGATTATAAATCCTGTACATAAGTTATTTCATTTAGAATTTGAATCGAATCATTTATAGATAACTGTCAGTTACGGACAATAATGCAATACTTGAGGCTTAATTTGACCGATCTTGGGCCCTATTTTTAGGTACAGTGGAATGCACTGAAGAGTAAGCAATGAATGTATTGGGGCGATTTTAGTCTGTTTGGTTGAAATGGGCCTTGGATTGAGATTCACTCATTGCCTTGTTTGTAACATGACATACATCTCATTCGTTAAAATAAAGCTGCGTGTGTTGGAATGGGTTTATGAGACTGTGTCTTCCCTGATGTTAGGTACTCAGTTTGTAGACCATCCACTAAGCTGTGGCAAACTTGCCATTTCAGGTTCTTGGCAGGTAGGCATTGCTTTTAACTGACAGAGAGATGTTTGTGGAGGGTCCTGTCATGTGATCCTGTGGCCCTGAGGAATTTTTCAGTGATGTTGGCCAGGATGCTGAGAAAGCTTTTGGCTCACCTTCAGATTACTAGCCATATGTCTTTAACATCCACCTGAAGCAACATCATAAACAGTTGGGAAAGATGCACTGCAGGAAATCTCCAAGGCCCTTTCAACAGCACCTTCCAAATCCACAATCTCTACTACCTGGAAAGACAAGGTTGGCAGAAACATGGGAACACCACCCCTCAAGGTCCCCTCTAATCTTCCACTCTGTCTTGGAGCTATAACGCTGACTTTTTGATGTTGCTAGGTCAAAATCCTATAATTCCATTCCCAACAGTATTGTGGATGACCCAAGGACTGCAGCAGTTTAAGAGGGCAGCTCACTACCCTGTCATGGGCAAATAATAATGGGCATCAAATGTTTAACTTATCATTAACATTGGCATCCTGTGAATGAATTTGAAAATGAAAGGTTTATTTAGAGGCTTAACTGAAGGCAGGCAACCCCAAAAGAAAGTAATCACCTGTGTTTATTGCTCATTTTCTCTGCTCTTGGCTTGAATGATGCAACTTTCACTGGGAAAGTTGCAGTAGGAGCTAACCGCATCTTACCCAATTAACTCTTTCATGACTGCATCATGAATGTCAGTAAAATATTCAATTTTGGAGAGTAACAGGACAAAACCCATTTTTTTCTCTTCAGCTAATGTTCTTTATGGATGATTTCCAGTCAGTGTTAAGGAAATGGAAGATTTGGGTCAGTCCCCACATCACTGCGAATCAAACAGATTGCCTTTTTGAAAACTAAAGACTGTGGGATCTTGCAAAATGGCTGCTGAATTACACCAGTGACAACGCTTCAATATTTCACTGTTAATTACTTTGGGATGTTGCGAAGTAATGAAAGGTGCTATATAAATGCAAGTCTCTTTCTTTACTCTTTTTCTCTACCTGTTTCTCTTGTTTTCTTTTCTTTGGTTTTCTTTTCTTCTTCTCATTCTCTTCTTTGTTTGTTCCTCTTTTCTTTTTTTTTCATTCTCTTCCTTAATCATCCTTGTCCTGCTTAAAAGGGTTCAAAAATATCAAGGTTATGATTGGTCGCAATGAGCTGCTCCCTTTCCACAAATTCACCAATGCCTGATTACATCCTTATCACGTTTTCTTCTTAAAATCTTCACAACTCATTTACAATTACAGTGTCAGAAATATGACGTATGAAAATGGTACAAAATCAAAAACACACTGGATGAGAATGTTAAAACCAAGTTGAGTGGGAGCTCAACAGGAAATATACACTCATTCATGCCATTCATGCTTGATAAGCACTTTGACTATTTAAAGACAGTGACGAGTTGAGTGTTGAAACAGGCCTTTCGGCCCAACGGGTGCATGCCAGAGTTTATGTCCCACGTGAACTTTCTTTCATCCTCTGTCATTCTGCCCTATCAGCATAACCTCCTATTCCTTTCACATTGATGTATCTATTTAGATTAGCATAGAAGATATACTTAAGTTCATCACATAATGAACAAAGACCAAGGTAGGAAGAAGTTTTATTTTAAACCCTGAGCATTCATTTGGTACAAACAGGGACACTGATGGAAATTGAACAAAAAATCATTTTAAATGTAATACATAATGTGAGGCCTCTTTTGGAAAACTGTGTCCAGTTCTGGTTGCCCAGTTTTGGGAAGGATATTATCAAGCTGGAGAGGGTTCAGGAGAGATTTACCAGGATGTTGCTGGGTATGGAAGGTTTGAGTTATAAAGAAAGGCTGGATAGACTGGGAGAGATAACAAGATGTGGAGCTGGATGAACACAGCAGGCCAGGCAGCATCGGAGGAGCACGAAAGCTGACGTTTCAGGTCTGGACCCTTCTTCAGAAATGGAGAAGGGGAAGGGGACTCTGAAATAAATAGACAGAGTGGGGGAGTGGATGGAAGGTGGATAAAGGAGCAGATAGGTGGAGAGGAGACTCACAGGTCAAGGAGGGGGGGATGGAGCCAGTAAAGGTGAGTGTAGGTGGGTGTTAGGATGGGGGTTGGTCAGTCAAGGGAAGATGTACAGATCAAGGAGGCGGGGATGAGGTTGGTAGGTAGGAGGTGGGGATAGGGGTTGGTGAGTGAGGTGGGAGGAGCGGATAGGTGGGAGAAAAGATGGACAGGTCAAGGAGGTGGGAACGAGCTGGGCTGGTTTTTGGATGAGGTCAGGGGTTTTCATTGGAGCAGAGGAGGTTGAGAGGCGACCTGTTAGAAGTTTAGAAAATAATGAGGGATGTAGAGGAGTTAATGGTAGTTGTCCTTTCCCTAGGATGGGGGATTTCAAGACTAGGGGGCACATTTTTATGGTGAGAGGAGAGAGATTTAATTAAGACATGAGAGACAAATTTTTTACACAGAAGGTGGTTCATGTGTGGAACTAACTTCCTGAGGAAGTGGTGGATGCAGGTACAATTACAACACTTAAAAAACATTTGGATAGATACATGAATAGGAAAGGTTTGGAGGGATATGGGCTGGTACCAGACAGGTGGGACTAGTTTAGTTTGGGATTATGTTTGGCATGAACTGGTTGAACCGAAGGTTCTGTTTCCAAGCTGGATGACTCTCGGACTCTATAAATGTAAGTTCAAAAAAAGTGAAAATATTCATAGGTTATACAGAAAGAGAAAGTTTCTGAGCTTGCACCAATTGCAATGGACAAAATAACCTTTTTTTATTAAGGACAAAAAAACCTCTTCTGTTCTTTATCAAGCTGTTCACTATCAAAATTGTGGTTGCAGTATGCATAGTCTACGGAACACACTGCAATTAGTCACTAAGGTGGCTTCAATAGCTCATCAAGGGAGAAAGAGACTATCACTGTGGATAGTAACGTAAAAATAGGAGCAGGAGAAGGCCATTTGGCCCATCAAGGGCACTCAGCCATTCAACAAGATCACGGCTGGTCATCTTAAAGCCATACTCCCACTGTCTCTCCATATCCCTTGACACTGTTAGCCTCTAGAAATCTATTTATTTCTAAAATGTGGCCTCCACAGCCTTCTATGTTAGAGAATTCCACAGTTCACCACTGTCTGAGTGGAGAAGTTTCTCCTCAGCTGTGTCTGAAATGGCCTAAGCTGTATTGAGATAGTGACCTCTTACTCTGAACCCTACCGCAGCCAGGGAGGCATCATCCCTACATCCAGTCTGTCCAGCTCTGTCAGAGTTTTGTATGTTTCACTGAGATCTTCTCTCATTCTTCTAACTTCCGATGAATACAGGCGCAGTCAGCCCAGTCTGTCCTCATACAAAAAACCTACCATCCCAAGAATCAGTCTGGCGTAGCTTTAGCTGCAATATTTTGGAAACTCCATTGCTTTCAGTTTCCATTCAATATTCTACACCATGCTAATTTGTGATTACATTTGCTGAAATCCTTTGATCTTCACTAGCTCAGTGTCCTGGAATTATCTACCTAATTGTACTCACATAGTAGTGAAACCTGCAGAGGCCCACTACTTTCTCAGAATGACTAACCATGGAAATAAATACAGCTTCAGCAGTGTTACCCACATCCTGTACACTGAAAGAAAGACCTCCAGATTCCCGCAGTGCTTCAGATAGTGAACGACTTTGGTCACTTAATTATGCAGGAAACACAACTGAAAATTCGAGCACCAAACGTTGGACGTTTTGATCAGAAAGTGAATTTGCATTTATATAGTGTCTTTCGTTATACCTCTGCCAATAAAGCCCTTTTTTTGAAGTGTTACAATGTAGAAAACACAGTGCACAGCAAGATCTCACCTATAGTGACATGAGTTTGTGATGACAATTGAAGTGTAAAATCATTGGCCAGGACAGTGAGGCAAGCTGTGCCAATGGGACAGACAGGACATGGGAATAACCTGGCATTCAAAAGATGGTACCTCTGACGATGCAGTACTCCCTCTGTCTTACGCTGGAATGATCTGAAGGTGCCGGTGTTGGACTTGGGTGGACAAGGTCAGAAATGACACGATACCAGGTTATAGTCCAACAAGTTTATTTGAAAACACAAGCTTTCCGAAAGCTTCTGTTTTGAAATAAACCTGTTGGACTATAACCTGGTGTTGTGTGACTTCTGACCTTCTACACCAGAATGTCAATCTCGATTTTGTCTCTGGTGTAGGGGTTAAAAACACAACCTTCTGATTTAGAAGCATTATTTTCCTTTGTCACTTCTTTTGCTAGCAACGGCTGGCTTGATAAATAGAAAGATTCACATAATGAGT